GCTTCTTGCATTTGTGCAAGACAAAGTGATCCATCAGCACTTGCCAATTAAAATGAATAATATTAAACTCAGACACCTTTAGGTTACTACAGAGTTTCTTTAAGAAATAAAACCAACTGTACTGAAGCTGTCAAATAATTAAAGCACCCAGAACATCGCACTTCACAAAAAGACTGGAGCTGTGCTGCAAGTCCTTTCTCACAAAGGTTGACAAGGAAAGGCAAGCATGCCAGTTTTTCTGATCTGTACTTCTGCTGAGAATTCCAGGTGCATTAGGCTTCCCCCAGGACGCAGAAAATCACATGATGAGGAGAAAGGCAACAACCTGTCAGGAGACACACCAAGTCTGCAGAGAAAACAGTCACTGCTATTTATTTCACACCGCTGCAGCCCAAAACTGGTAGCTGGTTTGTGCAATAAAGCACTGAATCCTGCAAAACACCAGTAAAACTGAATTAGGCAGGGAACTGGATGGCAAGCCAGGCAAAGGAGCTTAGAAAAAGAGAATACTATAGCATAAGATAATTACTAAGGATAGTTCATGAACCAGGTGTCTGAAGAGTCATTTCTTTGGTTCACTTCTCCTGTTAGCATCTGAATGCAAGATATGGCAATAAGATCATATGGAGTATGCATGAGGTTAGCTCACTGCTCTTAACAAGATGGATGTAAATTAATGGCAGCACAGTTGACATCTGTGGACTGACACCAGCTTCACACACAGTTAAACACGCATTTGTTCAGTGGGGCTGTTAAGGACAGTCAGGAGCTACTATCAGGAGGAACCAAATAATTTTTTAATAACAGCCTCAGTCCAGACTGAGGGCAAAACTACACCTATTCTTACACTAGCCACTCTTTTTCTAGCTGGATGCCTGTCCTTGGTGTAGAGAAGGCCTAGTAGGTATCTTTCAGATCCTGCTCCTTCTTAACAGCTTTCATCAGGAAGAGGAAACTTTTCTGCATGCTGCTCCCAATAACTTTCAGCATGCCTCCCTACCCTGGGAGTGTCTGTCTTACAAAACTCTTCTATAGCAAAGAAAAAGCCAAATGTGTTACACCAGTAGGCAGTTTGCAAAGGGCCTGCCTGCCTGCTTGCTTGCTTGCTTTCACAGGGCCTTCGTTAAACAGCTGCTACTAGTCCTCCACTCTTACCAGCATTAATTCACTGAACCAGATGAAAAGTACACATGCTTGGGAAAGCTGGTTTTAGCAAGGGGGACACACAACAAATTTAATCTTACTGCAAATCAGCAGAAATTTTACAGAGCATATATAAACGTGGATTTTTAAACGTCTTCGCACATATTTAAAGGTAAATCGTCCTACAGATTGTTTTAAAAGCCTGTGTGGTAAAAATTCACTCTTTTCAGCACTTCCAAGTCTGTCAAAACATTTTCCTCATCCTTCCACGCAGTACTTCGGTTCCACCTAGTGGCTTTCAGCAGCAATAAGCAGAAGACTAGGCAGGCATTTTATTGCCCAAATGCTTAATTTTCAAAATCTGTGTGTCTAGTTGTAGAAACATTCATAGAGTCTTCTTCAGACATGTAATTTATCTTGCTGTCTCCCTAAAAATTCTCTTGGTCTTCTGACGGGAATTTTCCAGCTACAGTTATTCTAGTTTAAACATCAAAACCAAAAGGGTATTAAATTAAGCTAAAGCTTATTTCTGTGCAAACGAGGCTGAGAGGACGGGCTGGAAGAGCACTGGCAGCGTGCAGGCAGGAGCTCTGCAGTGCTGCCGTGCCTGTTAAATGAAGCAGCTGCTGTACCCCTCCAGAGCCAGGGCTCAGCAGGGTACCTGCCCACCAGCAGAGCTTGGTCAGGTACAAACCTGTCACGCCCCTGAGATGTGTCTCACTTCGCTGCTGACGTTTTCAGCATCGACCCCCTTCGCAGTCAACTGAGAAACCGGCACTTCTCGACCATGACTCAGGCGACCTATTTGAGAGGTTTACCTTCAGGTGAGATGAATCGCACCCTGTAAGTGTCTCATCTCCTCATTTCCATTACAAAGAGAAGCTAGAGGGCTTACTGATAGTGCGGTACCTCCATTACGCATCTTGAATCCCACCCAGGGTGTCTGACTAAGACTCTGTCTGCTACGCAGCATTTGAAGGGTAGCCCACCTTGCAGTGAGCTCTAAGCAGGCAGCAAAAAGAATCTGGAAGCAGAGCAACCCTGGCAGTTACAGACTTTGCACCCAAGTTAAAAACCCAGTAGAGACAGGTAGCCATGCTATTCCAGAAAGCTTCAACACTGTGCTGTTCTCAGAATACACTTCACCCTGCTGCTCAGTTCTATTAGACTGATGAAGGTAGGTTTGTCTTCTAGCAGGAAAACTGTAAGACAGCTCTGCTCCCACCTACTTTAAGGTTATAAAACCAGATACGCTTATATTTCGGTTCCCTGAGGTATTAGCAGAACACTCACCACAGACATTTTAGCCCTCTTTGGAAGAGCTTTACCAACTCTAAAGAGCCACTATCTTCAAAGGGAAGGGGAAAAAAAAGCAACCATCAAACAACTGTGAAACTTCGTGAATTTATCAGCTGCCACATTTGAGGTCAAAAGCAGGTATTTTAAAGTAATTTTAGTGTCTTACATAAACAAGAAGACAGAGTTCACCAGAACTTCTCTAGTTTGTCCACAGAGATCATATCCATTTAAAGACAAGGTGAAATAAAAAAAGGAAGTTGACCTAGTTCATGATTTGTGGAGTGTGGGATGGATGAAAGGTCTTTAACTCTTTAATGCAGCTTTTTCTGTCTAGTCTCATTTCAAGGAGCTTTACTTTTGGTCAGACGCAGTTTGAGGCTTGCACCCAGCAAATCATGTCTGCTTTTCTAGAATGTGACTCCAGCGCGCAGCAGAACTGCTCAGATTTATTACTCCATAGCAGGGTGTCTCAGTTTCTTACCTTTTCACCTTCACCTAAGCTTTGATGGACGAGGGCTGCACATGACAGAGTGACTCCTTTATGCAAAGGAAAGGAGAACAACTTCAATGGTTTCAAACTTCCTCGCTCTGTAAAAATGAAGAGAGAAACTAAGCCTTCACGATGCCTGTCTTGCTGGTGGGTTCATATCCCAGCCAACCTAGATTTGCAGTTTATTTGCAAGATAATTAAACCCTTTTTCCTGTAACAGTTATTTCACAAAACCCGAGAAGATTTACAACACCAATCTTACCAGTTCAACTGACTTTTTTTTTCCCCTCCACTTCAGACAAAACCGTACGTGTCACATCTTCACCCCCCAAATCTTGAATCGGCTCCCACCACAGGGAAGCAGCTGCTCCCTCCCTCACAGCGCAGAGGACACTGCTATATAGAGGGGAGGGGGGGAGGGGAACAGAGAACAGGCAGCAACCCTTGAAGCCATCTTTTCAGGAGCCTCAGTCTGCCACTGAAATACCTCTCCCTGCAATGGCAGTTTTACTCTAAATTTGCAGCAGG